TTAATTATTAATATTAATATTTCAAATACATAATAGTAAAATTTAATTTTTGTTGTTAGTATTACTGTAATTTACATTGACATATCAAATATGAGAAGCAAAACATATGATAATATTTTATTGACTTGTTGGAATTATATATTTGCTCACGAAGATTGTTAAAAGAATGTAAATCATTTACACTCTTGGAAATACTCTAAAGAATGTTAGAGAATATTATATTATAGAACTCTCCTAATATTAGGATTCTAGTATGATTCGGTTACCTAGATTAGTTATGATTTAGTTACTCAGTAAAACTCTATTACCTTGCAATATTTCTCTATATATATTCCATGTAATCAACTCATAACATAATGGGGGTTTTTATTATATTACGTATTATTATTTCTCTTCTTCTCCTATTCTATTCTTCATATATGGTATCAGAGCACCAATGTTTTTTAACCTAGCCGCCCTTTCTTCTTTATGGCGGTGACCACCCAATTTTCTCCCTCCCCCGGTGGTGGTACTCTAATATTTTTTATTTTTGTTATCCTTTTCATGAACACCACCCGAATTTTCTCCCTCCCCCGGTGGTGATTCTTCTCTATTTTTTTCCGACATATTTTTCTATCAGATCTATGAACACCACCCGAATTTTCTACACCACCCGAATTTTCTCCCTCCCCCGGTGGTGCATCTTCTCTATCTTCTTTTCTTCTTCTTCTTCTTCTTCTTCTTCTTCTTCTTCTTCTTCTTCTTCTTCTTCTTCTTCTTCTCCATGGCCTAAAACCTAGCCGCCGCTTCTCTTCTTCTCTATGGCCGGCGACCACCAAACCGAATTTTCTCCCTCTCTCGGTGGTGTATCTTCTCTATCTTTTTCTTCTTCTTCTTCTCCATGGCCTAAAACCTAGTCGCTGCCTCTCTTCTTCTCCATGGCCGGCGACCCCTCTCATATCTTCTCCCTCTCTCTCTCTCGATTCATACATAAAAAAAAAAAAATTGCTTATTTTTCTCTCACCCGTTATTATTATTATTATTCTCTATCAATTGGGCAGATATTTACACAGATGAATTCTCTAGCGTTGTGTTTCGCGGTTCCTATCCAGTCTTCACTTTTTGAAGTTTATTCGTTCCGACTGCGGGATCGTGTTAGCAAGTGATTGTCCAGTCTTCACGTTCGTCACGTTTCGACTGCGGGGTCGTGTTAGAGAATATTATATTATAGAACTCTCCTAATATTAGGATTCTAGTATGATTCGGTTACCTAGATTTGTTAGGATTTAGTTACTCAGTAAAACTCTATTACCTTGCAATATTTCTCTATATATATTCCATGTAATCAACCCATAACATAATGGGGGTTTCTATTATATTACATATTATTATTTCTCTCCTTCTCCTATTCTATTCTTCCTATAAAGAAGATGAAAGTGTAAAATTATAAAACATATGATACTTCAATGCAAAACTTCAAAACCTCTCATCATCTCGACAATCTTTTTGTTTTTATGTTTGAAGTAATTAATTCCTAAATTCAGTGTACGAGGCTGGTTAAAATTTTGTATTTCTCAACAAATAAATAATAAATAGTAAATAAAAAATAAATAAAAAATAATAAATATTAAATAATAAATAATAAAAACATAAATAATGAATAATGAATAATAAATAAAAAATAAAAAATAAAAAATATAAGAGTTAGTATACGAATATCCTACCTTGACATGTGTGCTCTGGGGTGTGTTGCATCTATCATATATATCTGACACACTGAACAAAGTACCAAACTATTGTCCCACTCAAATTTGTCTTACGTTTATATCAGTATTCGTCATCTCAAACGTCATACTTTCTAAATCCTATCTATGTTTACAAATTAAACTTGACTTTTAAATTGAAATTAATCCAACTCAACCACAAACTTCCACAATTCCTTTCTATATATATAGCAATTAGCATATATAGTGATTCTCCAATCCTCATCTCTCTCTTTCTTTCTCTCACACACACTCTCACGTAAATTCACACACACACAATTATGGAGCAACAGCGGCACGTGGTGTTAGTTGTACATTTCCGGCACAAGCCCACATCAACCCATCCCTTCAGTTCGCCAAGAGGCTGACCGCCATTGGCATCAAGGTCACCTTCGCCACCAGCATCTACGCACGGCGGCGCATGGCCAGAACCGCCGCCGGACTGCCCAAGGGTGTCACCTTCGCCCTTCTCTGACGGGTACGACGACGGGTTCAAGCCGGGAAACGACGATGCCGGAAAGTACATGACGGAGATAAGAAGCAGAGGCTCCCAAAGTCTGAGAGACACCATCCTTGCCGCCGCCGAGCAGGGCCGCCCCGTCACCCAACTGGTGTACACCCTCCTCCTCCCCTGGGCGCCAGAGGTGGCGCGTGAGTTCCACGTCCCAAGCGCCCTCCTCTGGATCCAACCCGCCACCGTCCTCAACATATACTACTACTACTTCAATGGCTACGGAGATGAAATTACAGCAAACTCGAACGATCCGACGTGGCATTTCCAATTCCCGGGTATTCCCGCCCTTAATTTTTCCAAACGCGACCTTCCGTCTTTCGTACTTCCGTCGAGCTCCGACAAGTACAGCTTCGCACTTCCGAGTTTTAAGGAGCAGCTCGAAACACTAGACGCCGAAATATTGAAACCAAAAGTCCTGGTCAACACCTTCGACGCGCTGGAGCCCCACGCGCTCAAATCCATCGACAAGTACGAGCTATTCGGAGTGGGGCCGTTGATTCCTTCCGCCCCTTCAGAAAAGTCATTCCGCGGCGATCTTTTCGAAAAATCCGATGACAACAGCGTAGAATTATGGCTCAACTCCAAGCCCGAATCGTCGGTTGTTTACGTGTCTTTCGGCAGCATTTTGAAGCTACCGAAAGCACAAATGGAGAAGGTAGCGAAAGGGCTCTTAGAATCCGACAGGCCGTTTCTATGGGTTATACGAACAAACGAGGATAAGAAGAATGAAGAAGAGGAGGAGGAGAAGTTGAGTTGTTTAGATGAGCTCGAAAAGATAGGAAAGATTGTACCTTGGTGCTCGCAACTTGAGGTACTAACGCACCCTTCAATAGGTTGCTTTGTGTCGCACTGCGGGTGGAATTCGACTCTGGAGAGCTTGTCTAGCGGAGTTCCGGTGGTGGCTTTCCCTCAGTGGACCGATCAAGGGACGAACGCGAAGTTGATAGAAGATGTGTGGAAGAGTGGGGTTAGAGTGAGAGGAGTTGGTGGAGATGGGGTGGTGGAGAGTGGTGAGATAAAGAGGTGCATTGAGGAAGTGATGGATGGTGGGAAAAGGAGTCGGGAGTTGAGAGCGAATGCTCGGGAATGGAAGAGTTTGGCGAGGGGAGCTATGGATGAGAATGGGAGTTCTTGTAAGAATTTGAAGGATTTTCTTGACGAAAATTGAGCTCCTTGTTTTAGGGTACATTAAGTGTATTTACTTTGCTAGAGAGGTTTTGTTTGTTGAATGTTAATTTTTGCTAATTCAAGTGAAGGTTGAAGTTCTTCCTTTTTTTCTTTACTTGTTTAACTTTGTGTGGGTATGTTTAGTTTTTTTTAAGTATATCAAAATTTGTATTGTTTTTTGAATATATTACACCTAGGGGTGAAAACGAGCGAGTCGAGTCGAGTCGACACGAACAACTGGTTGTGCTCAAGCTCATGTGCATTTATATCGAGTTTTGTGTTTGAGCTTGATTTGGTAAGCAATCGAGGAACTCAACACACCCCCAAACTTGAACTTTTGTTTCTCATCAAGCAATACTACCAACTTGCAAAGCAACAAAATCAATAAATGAATCATCTCATCACATAGATTAAAAATTTACAAGCTTAAAATTGTCATGGGACTTCTCAAAAATTTACAAGCTTAAAATTCAACGATAGTTAACTGATCACCATTGCCAAGAACCAAAAATCATGTTATCGCTTCAAGCATCCAATATTTGTAATCTAAAATAGAGAAAATTTATACTTACATAGTAATATTAGACTCCAAAGACTCATCGAATTTCTCTACTCTCGAATAATTGAGCTATTAAGATCAAAGTAAACGATATATTGGGCAAGTTACAAGTCCATGAGGAGAAGATCAAGAGATGAAACAAAGGGCCCGGAGTAGAACAAGCTCTTCAAAAAAGACGAACCTTGGCAACCAACCAAAATATGATGGTGCTCGATTTCGTGGTAGAGGTAGTGGCCGTGGTCGTGGACGTGGTCGTGGTCATGGCAGAGGTCGTGAAGGACAATTCTCGTACAACAATGATAATACTAAGCAAGAGAATCGACCAACAAGACGTCGTGGAAGAGGAGGATTCAATTGGCCCCAAGATAAGAAAGATGTCGAATGTTACAGTTTTCACAAATACGGACACTATGCTTGGGAGTGTCGAAATGAGTCAAATGATGAAAAGACTCATTATGTTGAAGCAACGGAAGAACTCCCATGGAAGAAGGAAGAAGACCGAAAGCTTTGTTTTAGTTAATTTCGTATTTGGAAAAGTAATTGAGTTCAACTGAGTTCTTGAAACTTTCAATTTACATCCCATGTGATATTTTTAGGTGAAAAGACGGAAAAAAACCCATTTATTTTATCATGTGTTTCGTGCTTGCGCCTAAATTTGTGAAGATTCGCCATAATATTTGCCCTAGGTGGTTAAGTGAATCAAAATAACGAATTTGGGTGTACAATGTTCAATTATTTTTATTAACGTGACAAAGCGCAAAAACAGGTAAATGATAGGTGGTAAAATGCTATTAAACCTAATTTCTTAATCTAATTATGCTTACACAAATTCAAGTTCCATTTGAAAGAAAACAAATAGAGCTACAACTTTCGTGTTTGGCGTATTCGAATGTACAAAGTTTATGGTACATACAGTTACATATCGTGCTCAAAATTGTGTCGGGATTATGAATTGCGCTACTTACATAGTTTTGTATTTCTACCGTAACTCTTTCGTTATTAGACTCCAAAGACTCACCGAATTTCTCTACTCTCGAATAATTGAGCTATTGGGATCATTGAGACTTTTTGGCTTTCAATTGTTGGGCTCTTTGGTGAAAGGTAGAAATATGGGTATATAAGTTGCTTTTTTTTCTTCTTAAATCGAGGTGTTTTCGCAGAGATTTGAAGATTTGACTTTTTGGAATAGCTTATTCACCTCTGATGACTTATTATCCTACTCGATTATCAAGAGTTCAAAAGTCTCCACTTTTGCTCTTGAGGTATGGTTCCAGTTTTTATTCGAATATTTGAGCATGTCCTCCTTTTCCCTTCTAGTTCTCTTCTTCTTCGTTCTTTTTCTGAGAAAAAGAAAAACGTAACAAATTTTCCATCAAAACTCCAAGGGATTTTTATCAAGAATCTCCATCTACTCTACCTTGCACGCACGCATTGGCTAAAAGAAAGAACTCCTTTTCTTTGAGGCCCAAATCAAGGTTCTAAGGATAATTTCGATAAAAAGATCGGCTTGAAAGGCTTATATGGTTCAAATAAGGCACAAATCATATCCCAAATCACTCAACGGCTCAATACTTCACTTTGCAAATTCCTAAGGTGAGTTCTAAAAACGAACATCAAATGATATTTCATAAATTAACTCCACTATTGAAAAACAAAATTTTCAACAAAAGCAACACATAATTCATGATTCTCAATAATGACTCACTCCGAAATTACTTTGAATCGAAAACTCACCTATATTCAAGTAATACAACAAAGCAAGTAATATCATCATTAGACATTGGCCATCTTTCTTCATCATAATTCATCTATGCATTCAACTCAAACATTTTTTTTAAAGAAAACAATAAATATATGAAAACGACTAAAAAGAAAAAAAAATCCTAAAGCATGCAATCTAAAACATATAAAGCACATAAAAAGTTGTTTTCAAAAATATACTATAGCATGCAATCTAAAACATATAAAACACATAAAAAGTGTTTTTCCACCCCCATACTTAAAGTTTTGCATTATCCTGAATGTAATTAAAACGAAGTTTAAGAATAGAATACACCTTGATTAGTCAGAACGTGCGTTGCACTCCTCCATCTCTTCATCTTTCAAGCAAACTTTTTTTTTTCAATTTTTCGAAAAAAAAATAAATAAAAAATTATCCAGGGGTATTTCGGCTTGATTTTCGGACGGTTGTCTGGGCTTTTTGTGTCCGTTTTTTGACCTAAAAATTCAAACGTGATTAAATTATTAGATTGCAAGCTTATATATATTCTAGGAAAATAAAAAAAAAAAAAAAAAAAAAAAAAAACACACACTAAAAATATGAGAAAAAAAAACGAAAAAAACAATAAATGCTCGGGTTGCCTCCCGGGAAACGCTAAATTTTAAGTCTTCAACCAGAGTTTGCTTCTTAAAATTATTATGTCCAATCCAAATTCTTGTAAATTGTGCATCCATTAATGGGCTCTACAACTTCAATTGCAACCAAGGCATGGATAGCATTGCAATATGTCACAGGGTCCACCTTAGCTTGTAGTCTTTATTTTGTTGTAATCAATCGGTACGAAGCCAAGATGGGATGTTCATCCGTCGCTCCATTAAATTGGTACACAAAAACCTCAAGTATGCGTATAACATCCACCTCAAACGCATTCGCCTTCTCATCAACTACTATTGATGCCTTCAAAACCACATCAGGTACAACGATAAGATCTTCAATTTGAATATTTGCACTAACCACATCCATCTCCTTCTTCTCTTGTTCCGAGACATCTATGGAGTTTAGCTCGATTGCATTCTCAGATTCATCATCTGTAGGCGTCTTCATAATTTATGTTTCCCTCTCATCGACACTATTTTCTAGGTCTGAAGAATTTTTCTCACTACAAGTTTCAGACGAATTTTCTTTGTTGCAACCATTCTTGATATCGTCTGGAATATTTTCATGAGGCCTCTGGAATTTGATCTATTCCAACTGTATCTCCAATCTTTTGGTAGATGCTTGAGTGGATTTCCTAAAATTTTCAAGGATGGATTTCAAATAACACTCCTCAATAGTGGGTTCTCGTGGCCTTGCATAATAGGTTTGAAAATCATCAAATTGCGGCTCCCGATGTTGAAAATCATTGAAAGCTTGGCTGGGAACACTATGTTCGTACGTGTTGGTGTATGTGTTCCAATAACCCATGTTGGTATTATCGAAGAAATTATTCGCTTTCGGTGCTTCCCAATATTGGTTAGTGTAATGATTTCTACCACATGTGGAACAAAATAGCGGCATATCATAGGTGTTTTGGAGGTATTCGCCTGATGAAAGCAATTCGTATCCCGTTTGAGGTGCGCGGAAATTGTAACCTGATATGTAACAAAAGAAGAAAAAAAAAAATTAAAATTAATTTGGGTGAATTGAGAGATTTGTTCGAATCTAGAGTCAAAATAAATAGACAATGTATTATATGGTTTCGTCATCTGGATGATTACCTTCAGATGAATTTGAATGCATTAAATCATCTAGTTCTTCATGTTCATCCTCCACTTTTCAGAGGAGGCTCTTCGGAGAAAGAAACTCAAGAAATGAATAATTTTATTCTTGGGATAATTTTAGCATATGAGGAACAACCGTATCAGCGACAATATATCTATCGTGATCGCGAAGAAAGTCAGAAACTATTACGGAAATATTATTTTTCTGAAAATTGTACTTTCCATTTTCTTATTTTCACAGGCGTTTTAGGATGCGCAGAGGGTTGTTTTTTATATTCAAAATGATCTTGAAAATTATAACACATACTTCATCTGAAAGAGAGATGCACGTGGTCGTCTTGGCTTATCATCTATTCAAAAAATAACTACTGCAATTCTGGTTTTTGCTTATGGGGCATCTGCTGATTTTTACAATGAATATTAAAAGATCGGGGAGGCAACTGGTAACGAAACTTTAAGAGAGTTTTGTTCATCCATAATCGAACTATATGGAGAACAATACTTGCGTTCACCAAATGAACATGATATTCACCGTCTTCTACAAGAAGGAGAATCACGAGGTTTTCCAGGTATGCTTGGATCTTTAGATAGTATGCACTAGCAATGAAAAAATTGTCCAACTGCTTGGCAAGGCACACACAGGGGTCACCACCACAAGCCAACATTAATTTAAGAAGTAGTTGCATACCATGATACATGGATTTGACTTTCTTTTTTTTGGCATGTCATGTGGAAATAATGATATTAATGTCTTGGATCATTCTCCACTTTTTGATAATATGATACATAGTAGAATGCCTCCAGTTCCTTATACGGTGAACGGTCGTTCATATATGACGGGTTATTACTTAACTGATGGTATTTACCCAAAATATGCAACTCTTACTCAAACCATTGTTCATCCCACCACTGCAAAAGAAAAATTATTTGCGGCAAAACAATAATAAGTTAGAAAATATGTGAAGCGAGGATTTGGTGTTTTACAAAGTAGATGGGATATAACGCAAGGACTCATCCGTTATTGGACAAAAGAAGATATATGTAACACAAAGAAAACATGCATTATCCTTCATAACGTGATTATAGAAGCTGAACTTGAAATTGACATTGAACCATGGATGCCACTACCATAAGAGAATTTTCGACCCCCTCAATGTGAACGGGATCCATCAATTTTGGCGGCACATATCTCAGCACGCCTTAGTCGGATCCACAATCGACGAACCAATGAAAGTTTGAGATCTGATCTATTTAACCATTTGTGGAATATCTATGGAGCAAAAGATGTCTAAATAATCTATTGCTTTTGAGTATGTTTAATTTTTTATTTGTGAGTTATTGTTCTTTTATTTTCACTTGAAGAATTATATTTTATAATTTAATCGAATTTAATAAAATTAAATTACTACAAAAATTATTGTGACATTTCTTTTAATAAAAGTGATGAATACGAGAGACAAATGTGGAGCAATCAATAGGAATTCACATTGTTATTCATCTTGAACAAAAAAAGTTGTAACATCTCTTTTACTATTAGACATAAAATTAATAATATTTAAGAAAAAAAAAAGATCAAAATAAATGTTTCGTGTATTATATTTTATAATTGAATTTATTAAAATTTAAATATAACTTCTTTTTATCGATAAATCTAAATGTAACATTTCTTTTACCTACTATTAATATTAAAACCAATGAAATTTAATATTGTAATCCCTAAAAACATATAATACAATCAAATAATAAAATAGAATTAAACATTACTTAACAAAAAATAAAAAAATAATATATATATATATATATATATATATATATATATATATATATATATATATATATATATATAATTCAAATTAGAAAACATAAAAAGAAAAAAAAAATAAAGCAGTGAGTAGGATAGAAGAGGATAAATTTAAAACAAAATAAGGGTTCAATGTATCCTTAATACTAAAAATATGGTTGGACCTTTCTTCATTGACAAATGGCACAAAACTCAAAGAATCCCTTACAATACAATAGTCAACTCAAATTAATAAAAATATCTAGTCAATTTTTATTACAGTAATTTATACTTAATTATTATTTTTGTCATTGATTTTCTAATTTATATTTATATTAAGAGAAAATTTATATTATTGCATACATCTTTGTTTGAATTATGGTTTCATCATGTAATTCAAGTAATCCTTACCTAACTTTTTATCTGTGTATTATGTAACTACAATATTATTGAACATTACATATTTCTACCTATAAAAAGATACAATTATGACAGTTTATAATATTGAACACTCTCTGCTAAATGGAAGCAATGAGGAAGCAAGCACTAATAATTATTTTTCTTGTTTATGGTTTGGTTTCAATAATGTGTAGTACAAGTTGTAATGGTGAACCACGTTTCAAAATGGAACCATGCCTTGGAGAAGTTTGTACTTTTGCGTGTAGCAAAGTGTCTTGTGGGTCCTATCCTTGCCCCGGAGGATATTGCCGTGCTCCGAACCCTCCCCTGGAGCCCTACTGGACATGCCATTGTCTTGCAAGAATCGGAAATTAATATATTTGATTCGTAAATGTTTTTATTTATTTATTTATGATTTGAGCGATA